TGGTAACAAAATCAAGATGGTATAAACTGAGTCTGGCTAGTTCTAAATACACACTTTTTTCACCATTAAAAAGGGGGGGGGGCTGGTGTGCAGCTCAATGGTAGAGAATGTGCTTATCATGCACACACACAAGCTCCTTACACTGTCAAATGTCAATATTTGTGTTTATTTCTGATCCCTGTGGCTATAGTGTCCTTATCACCTCACTCTCTAGATTCAGTCCTCTCATTCCCCAGGGCCCCTTCCAATGTCAACAGTTCTAAGTGCTTCAGGTTGTCCTGCTTAGAATTGATCATTCCCCTTCAGACTGCAATTAGCAATTTTGTCTCTTAAGAAGATGCCTTCGAGGCACTGTCTCCCCTAAGAACTGTTGTAAGTTCCTGGAGAGCAGTAGCCATTTTTTCTTGGTCTTTGAATTTCCATTCATGCTTCCCAAAGAGACTTTCCTTCAGAAAAAAAAAAAAAAAAAAAAAAAAAAAACCTTGAACATTAACATTTTTACAAATAGAAGAACTGAGCTTTAACAAGGAGCTCAAACCTAAGGTTATAGGGAAACTCATTTGTACCTCATGAGCGGAGTCCAGACCTGCTGGGTTTGCGTTCTGTTCTCTCTCCCTTCTATACGAGTGACTTCTGTCCTTCTAGCCCTGTTTATAAATTTGCCTTCTGAAACCACCCACACTCCATGAAGGGGAGCATCTTAATCCCTTTTGCCCTATTAAAAAATTGACAACCAGAAATATTGCCAGTCTCAAGTTTCTCTTCCACCCCTATTCTCTCTAACATCCTGATCAGAGCATAATATGCTCAAAGGAGGAGATGATTCTTTCTGATCTTTTCCTGCATACCTAGTATCTAGCCCAGTGCCTGGACATAGCAGGCACTTAATAAATATTTGTGGAGTGAGTAATGAACCACTGTTTACTTAAAAGACCCAAGGCCATGGGGAGGAATTAGCAAACCATGAGTGCAGGAAGCCATCCACGAATTACATGAGGATCTTCTCTGGGCATGGAAACCAGGGAGATTTAGAACTGGCCTTGGGAACTATCTATGGCTCTCCCTTGGCAATAGATTGCCCAATGCATGTGATCTTTATCTCCGCTCTGCTAGGAAGATTGCTCATAGTAGCTCTGGAGATGGGCATAACCCATTAGGAAATGGACAGCCCACCTTTCACCTCTTTTGATGAAGAACATTCTGTGGAAGGCCTTTGATGTTTCCCGATATAAATAAAGCAGGCGAGGTTTCCATTTTGCCATAGTCTAGAAAGCTCGATCCATCTGTTCAGCTTGCCCGTCCTGTCCCCCATTTTTGAAAGTACTTTCTGTGTTCTGTGGGTTTTTTCTCCATTCTATTTTTCTTAGCTTTTATTTCTCAGCCATCCCATTCCACCGAGGGGAACCCCATTTCCACCACCCACACAGGTCGGGGGCAAGACACAAGTCTCATTTGTTGAGCCAAGACCTCTCTCTCAAGCCAACTGCATGACCTGTCCCACACCTGCTAACCACCTTGCTRTTTGTGTCACACTCTGCTTCTCTTGTATCTGTTTTATCAAAGCCTCCTGTGTCAGGAATAAATAAAGCCATGTTAGAGCTGAGCCTGAGTCCTCTTGCATACCTAAAGAAAACATTTGCTCTCTGCCAGACCTCTTCCCAATTCCAAAAAGAATTCATCTCTATAACTGATCCTATRATCCTGTCATGCACCATGATTCCCTCTTCCTTCGTTTCTCTCCTTCTTCTCGCACACTCCTAGTCAAATACCACCTCACTTTCTAAGCTGCTGGGCCTCTCTCTCGGGACTCCTGTACACGTGTTAATGATSCCAAGCCCTGAAGCTGAACATGAAAAAAGTGAAGCCTGAAAATGATCTCTTCTGTCATAGACTCATTTAGTAATCCACATCTAGACTGGGGGCGTGTATATACGTGTAAGTTGCTGTGCCTTCAGCCACAGATGCAGAGCCGGTGGAAAAAATTGAAATCATTTGCCAATAGTCTTGTCTACGTTTTATTAAAAAAAAAAAAAAAACTTATTCCAATGAATAAACAAGTTGGAGGATCGTTCTCTTGGAATTGTATTCACCTGTTCATTTTGATGGAGTCGTGCTTGGAGCAAAGGGAAAGCTACAAATGTGTGCAGAAGTGGTGGCCATAAGAAGATAAGGGGGAGAGAAGCCAGCAAGAATGGCCGGATATTAATCTTGTCTCCAGCTGCCTACCTTATCCTGTAGTGAACTCTCAGCATTTCCTCTCTGGCACAACTTTCTGCTGGAATTTACACAGATGTAGACAATTATGCCTTTGAAACTTGAAATTTGGCTTCCAAAGCAGTTTATCCCTTTGTCTACACAGATGCCATTTAAGTGAGAATTTAGAAAATTCAGTAGTTTAGAAAATGGTATCCTCCATCCCGGCCCCTCTCCTTTCAAGCTCATAACATCCGAAAACAAGAAGAGGGCCTCCCATAGGCTTGGAGTGCCTCCACCTGCAGATTCGGCAGTTTGCCACTTGGTGTCCTTGACTTGTGCGTGTCCTTGTCTTTCTCCTTTTCCAAGAGCAGAGTCCCTCCAGTGGGTGAGTTCAAATGCTGGCTCACAAAGAAATTCAAACCTCTCCCTCTGTGGCCAAGTAGCCATGCACCTACAAGCAGCTGCCCTCCCCCTACTCCAAATGTGGTTCTAGACTCAATAATAGTGCCCCAAAGATGTCTTCAGTATATAAATTGGTACTGGTTCTCTAAGGAAAGTGTATCCATGAGTTAAATGGCTCAGGAATGAACAGAGATGTGAGGCACATTGGCACACACTTATGATTCCAGTGACTCTGGAGGCTGAGGCAGGAGGATTACCAGCCTCAGTAGCTTAGATAGACCCTGATAAAAAGGACTGAGTATGGAGCTCAGTGGTAAAGTGCCCCTGGGTTTTACCAAAATAAATTAATTAATAATCAACAGAGAGGTACCTTCCCAGAGTTCTAGTAGGTGTTGTTCACGTCACAGACAGCTTGGAAAAACCCAACACACTGGGCTCCAATAAAGAGTTAAAATAGGAGCTTTATAAGAGGGTGTCAGGCTCCGGACAGCTATAGCAAAATTTAATTTGGACTTCCAATTGTTTATATTTTACCAGAGAAACACCATCACACATGAAGAAATTGATTGTACAAAAACAAAACCCTTTTTTTCTTTTTYTTTTTTTTTTCCTGTGCTGGGGACCAAACCCAGGGTCTTATGCATGCCAAACAAGCATGTTACATCCCAGCCCCAGAAACAGCATAACTATACTATTGGGTCSCAAGAACCCAAAGGACAGTTTCTTCCTAGTCCTTGTTTTAGGAGAATGGAGAAATGGTTAAAGGAGTGAGTAAACAGGTACATTCTGAGGACCAGCCAAGTTCATTCCCTGTTTTGGATCTCCCATGTTTCTGAGAAGAGGGAAGAAATTCATTTATAAAGCATAGGAAGCAGCCATTTCCCCTAATTCAGGCTTCAAATCTGGAGTTGATAGGTTCCGGGAAAATGGAAACCAAAGTCCTTGTGTGTATCTACTTACAGTTTTGCTAGTTTGTCGTTTGGTTTTGCAAAATGTCATAGCTTTCCTTGAATTCAGAGAGGTCTGTAGGCCAAACCAGGTTAGGAACTGTAGTTCTGTATTCTGCTGTATTTCACATTACCCTTACATCAAAGCGTCACTGAAACTAGCAATGGAAGATGAGCCCAAACTGTTGTCAAGTTCCCTGAATAAGGAAACTCATATGCACCGCATGGATCTCCTCCCAAAATACATTATACCAATTTCTACTTCTAGAGTAAATGAAATATGAACCATCTCCCACCAGCACATCATCCCTGTCGCCGCATCATTTATTCCTTTCATGATACCCAGTATTTTCAAACAACTTTCTCTGCTTCATTTCCCCACACAAATAAGAATGGGCCCAGTGGGGGACATTCCTCTGTTGTGAGAGACTCCCTAGCTTATCTACTCATTCCAGGCAAAAGAACGTGATGCGAATTGTCAGTTGGGTTCATCCTATTTTTATTTCCATTGTTAAACATACCTAAAGAGCTTATCATAATCCAGGACTATATAAAGGCCTAAAAAAACTGAGATAATGGAACATAACTAGCTTGTACACTAAGTACCCAACTAAAAACACGATCCAACTGTACCCAAGGCTGCAGTGTGACACCAGCAGCAGGCCTGGTACAATCTTAAGGCGGGAATATTTGACAAAGGACCTGTCTCTGTCCAGATTCTGTTGCTACTCTGGATACCTTTCACTGTTTACCCTTTTGACCTAGAACTATTCAGTACTATTCAACATTTGGAAAGAATTTTCCTCTTTTTTTTTTTTTAACTTTTCAAAGTTCAGACTTCATGTCAAGGATCTTCATCCATTAGAGTATTTCATCGATAGATAGTCTTTCCCATTTTGCTCATCCTCTAGGGTGACATTTAAGTCATCATGCAGGGGAAATGTTAAATGATGACAATAGACATAGATCAAGACCTGGAACAAAAGGTCATCGTGTCCTCCTGCCCAGGGCCATGAGGTTTGCCCTGTACCACACACTGCATCTGCATCACCTGCCTGGGATTCGACCTCACTTCCCACCAGGATGGTAATGATAGAAAGTTCTTGAAGCAGCAAGATAACAAATTCCAAGTTAACCACTATCTGAAAAAGAAAAATCTCCAACTTCTAGAGATGGAAGCTCCCTCTTGCTCCCTGTACTGTATTATCAACATGTTTCTTTGCTGGGGAGAGCTGCAGTCTGCTGTTTGACCAGCTCATATTCTCCCACATATGAAGTAGCATGTTTAACTTCCTTCATTTTCTCCATAAATTGTGTTCAAACCCAAGGCATCATTCTAACCACGTAATCGAAAAGACAATGTTATTACCTAATCTATAGGAATGTCAGGAGGTAGCAATACAATAATAATTTTTTTAAAAGCGTCCTGTTCAACATTCTCTCCTCTTTCCACAGATTCGGAACGTGGCAGCGAATCTCTGCGTGGACAGTAAGCACGGAGCCACAGGAACCGAGCTGAGGCTRGACATCTGTGTCAAGGATGGTTCTGAAAGGACGTGGTCCCATGAACAGGTACGTGAGAAGTCATGGGCGAGGAGGCCGGTGGGGGTCTGAGGCAGGTGTGGAGGGATGTGGTGGGAGCAAGTCTCCAGRTGGAACACGTGGGACCTGGAACGAGGTTGTGGGTCTGTCACCGACCAGCTCTGTAGTTAAGTGAATCACTCTACTTCTTTCTGTTTCTTCTCAGAGCCATTGTGATAATCAGTTGAGATATGGATACAAATATGCTTTCAATTATAGGAAGGATGGTAGAATTGTTTGCTGTGACATGAATCTAATTGCCTTTCCAAGAATGATAGTTTTCAAGATGCAAAAATCCTGCAGAGTGCTAGGAAAAGCTTCCAACAAGATCTCATGATTTCGATGGAAGACTCTATAATGTTCTGTGTTTGGGATCTCATCTAATTTTCTTTTTTCCTTTTGGCTGTGTATCTAAAAGAAAAACACATGCACCTTTGTTGTTGTAGTAATAGTTGTTAATCTTAGGCATGAAGGATAACTGGGCAGTAACACCCCAATATGGACTTTATAGGATACTCCATGTATTGCTTTTGATTGAAACACATTTCAATGCAACTCAATTTAGGTGAGGTGTGATTCTAATCCGATGTGAAACTTGAAAGTTCTTATAAGGGGTTTTCCTTACACTATGCCATTGGTGAAAGAGAAAAGATAGTAGGTAAAATCCTTTCTGCCTCCTTTTATTGTTTAATTTTGAATTATAAAATATGTCAATAGGAAAAATATAGAAAATTTAGCAGATATTTATGCATGCATTACATGGATTCAATAATGATTGACAGCTACTGACATACTTAAAAAAGAAAAAAAAATGAAATAGATACCATTAGAGCCCTTTCTCCATCCTGTTCCCCTCTCCCCTTTGCAGAATGATTCATCCCAAGGTCAGGGTAGTATGGTTTACCAATACTTCAATTTCCCAAAATTGTTCACAATGCCTTTCTTATGAAAACTGAAAAAGTGAACAAGAGTTCCCAAAAGTCATTACTGCGCTCCTACAGCTGTACTCCTTATGTGTCTATCTTATGTACTAGACCAGGAAGAAGCCCAGTTTGGACATGCTTCAGTTGTGGAGAAACTTCTTATCTTATGTCTCATTCAAGGCAAAACAAAGAAAAAGAAAAGCTTCATTAAAATCAGTAGTTGTATAATTACCATGATCAGCCTCGAATGCTAAGGAGTTGTTCACATACAGAGATTCAGTGTGTTGGCACCTCCTTCTCCCCACTCCCCTGCCCTTTCCTATCTCACCTCCACCCTGCATTACAGTCAGAGCACCAGGATGCTAGGAAAACAGCAAAAGACCATGTCCAGAGCACAGTCCAAAATCAATCCAATTCAACAACACCTCCTGTCGTCCATCTAACCGCTTACCAGTCCTTACAATCTTACCCCTCAACCTCGCTGTGTTCTAGAAGGATCACGAACCTTGCAGTCAGCCCAGATTTCAGTTTAAACTATGTGGCCATGTGAAATTGTTCAATCTTTTTAGGCTACAGTTTGTCCATATTTAAACAAGGATAATACCCACTTCCTGGATGGGGTTATATGAGAAGGAATTATAGCCGTGATACAACAGCATCTTGCACATGAAGTAGGTGCAGAAAAAATACATTTCCCTCTGCCTTCTCATACACACTCATAAAGTTACTTTGTGCTAATATCAAATCATAAATCCCTCTTGGGTCCAAGGCAGTGGTGACTTTGGCTCCATTTGTTCATTCCCAGCATAGTCACCAAATACAAGTTACCATTCTCTCCAATATATCCTGCAGAGTGGGACACTTACCCACTGGGTTTTACAGAAGGTTCTGTGGCTTTAGWATTTAATGATAAGAATCAAATATTAGGGTAAGCAGACTTGTTTCTTCCTTTCTTTATCTATCACTTTCTATAAGCACCACAGGGATGTTTCCAGAAGAACAATGTTGGCTCTTACCTCTAAGGAGCAATTCTGACTTCAGTCTGGGAGCAATAGAGAATGCTCAGGAGGTTATTAGACTGGCATCCAAGGAACAAACATGTATTTATAAAAGAAAGAAGAAAAAGGAAGAAGTTATATGGAAAAGCTTTGGCTCTTGAGCTAAAATTTGTCTCCACCACTTCCTATTCAGCCTATCCAGAGAAAATTAATAATCCAGGGAAAACATTCTAAACCAGCTGTTTAGTATGAAAGATACCTGCCTGGATGCCTGAATCAGGTTGAATATTTCCATTCAGTAATATTCTAGAATGAAATTGGCTCAGGTCTGAAAATTCTATTTGACAGCTAAAAACGAATATAAGCAAAACCAATTCTATTACACACACTTTAAAAATTATTGGTTCATTTTCCCCCCTTAGGCTAAACTGCAAAAATCCATGGCATGTAATTTAAGAAATGGTCACCAGAGAGCAGCACTAGACAAGCAGAAAACTACATGAGCAGAACAAAAGCATGGGTTTGTAAAGAAATAGTTGTAAGGAATAATAATAAAGAGGAGGCAGAGACAAGGTACAGAGGCAGAGAAGGTGCAGAGTGGCTCTTTGTCCAAGAGGCCACATTTATTTATACCAATAGGTTACATTAGGTCATCAGTACCATAACCACATTATTGTTTAGAGTATCAGTAAGGTTGCTTATTCTGCAGTTACATTTCACAGTTACAATATGCAATGTTAGGAGCTTTGTGCAGTCCTTAAGAAAGTCCATTGTCTGAAGTTATTGTTACGTGGGCAGTTTCAGAAGCACCAGAGCTTGATGAAACATCATAGTTATCTAGTAAACAAGTTCTTCTATTCCCAGGAGCTATGTGCCTGCAATCAAGGTCGAAGCTTGATGAGGCTCTAACACAGAGGCATCTCAGGGCATTGCCATACCAGCTAGACACAGCACATATATTAGTTATATTATTATATCCTAAGAGAGATTACAGGCCATTCTAAGGGTGGGAAACAGGGTGCCTATTACCCCCTGAGAGTTTTCTCACCAGGGTAACGCTTCCCTGTACATTTCCACAGTCAGAATCTCTACACTGGTTAATATAGGTCTTTTTTTAAAAAAAATTCTCAGTCTCTGGAGATCCCCAAAATGGAGCTACCAGATTAAAGGTTGACTGGAGGTAAAAAATGATTCCTATTTGATATATGTCTCATCATCACATATTGACTTGGAGTCTAAAATATTACAAATGGCTGCCTTTCCCAGTAATTAAACTATAACCTTTCTTCCATATATTATTCAATGATTTACAAGAATTGTAATTCATTCTCTTACACTTAAATTAAAAGTCCTGAATGAAAAGTATATCAGAACATGAAAATTAAGGACATTCTTTTTAATTCAAAAAGATTTAAAAGGGGGTCCCCATTGAAGTTGAAGTGATTCCTTTAAAAAAATTTTTTTTAATGAAAAAAAAATAAAAATGTTACATGGGAAACAAAGGAAAGTCCACTGAAGCACTATTAAAAGAAAATGTCCTTTGTTGCAGAACACTAGTCCTGACTAATCTGGCTTCTGTGAAGGAAGCAGATGTATGATTCATGCTTCCAGGGTGATCTATTTAGCTATTTGATATCACTGGAGCATTGTGTGCTGGCTCTCCGTTTCCTTTAGGGAACAAGAAAGAAAAATAAAAATAGATCCAAGTAAGACTGTAAGGTCTGGAAAGGAGACTCCCTAACTCCCATGATGAGTGCAGGGGAGAGGGGAGGGGAGGCAATTCCCCTTGGCCTACTTCCACTGCTCCCACTCTGCAGGCCAAGCAGCAGCTCTGACCTCATGCTGGGGAGGAAGCAGAGCAGCAGAGGAAGCAGGCAAGTGCCCCCTTTGCAAGACCTGAAGGAGGAGAGACACACAGAGGTGGAAGCAAGTCAACACCTGCAGGGAAAGGACAAATTCCTTTCCTTTGGGAAAAACACTCTCACCATCAGGACAGAGCATACCCATGGGGAAAAACTGCAAGGAAAATCACACTGCATCTCACCCGATTTCACGTAACAATGAAATAAAATATAACTACCCACAGAGAGAAAAAAATATTTTCAATTGTCTCAAATCAGATAGAAGAAGATCAGTGTATTTGTAGTTCCCAGCCCAGTGAGTTTATTCAGATAATACAATACAGACCAAGCAGCATTACACATACCACATGAATATTTAAGCAAAGAAATGAGTTATCACTGTAAATCTGTATTTGAAACTATCACTCAAAAGAAGAAAGGGGAGAAATTAACAGCAATTTACTTTCAAACTGATGATACACATTTGGGGCAGCAGGGGGTGGGGAGAATGGGTTTTTTTTTTTTCTTTTTTCACAGGCAACCTGAAGGAAACTTAGATAGTTTTGTCAATAAGATCAGCTCAAGGGCAGAAAACCAACTATGAATGTCACAGTGACATTACCCGGGGCAAAAAATGAAAATGGCTTCATAATGTCTGCTTGTTTTTGCTTTGACAAGATTGTGCATGGAAGTGTAACTAATGAATGAAAGACTCAATGCCTGATTGGTTTGACATGGCCATTAGGCTAAGATAAATGACAAAGACATAAGAGGAAAAAAAAAATCTTAGCTAAAGGTAGGTGCAGAAGAATAAAGCAATTGATATAATTTGAAGATGCATTACCCAGGATGCAGGAACATATTCACCAGGTAATAACAACAATAATAATAATACATAAAACACTATGAAAATTACACTCTAACAAGCTACAAATGTAAAACTGAGCATTACACTATGACAATAAAGCTAGAAATAAGAAAAAAAAAAGTTACCATAAGGATGCCCTGAGATATATTTGTGACAATAGATGAAGAGATCTGAGAAAGAAATTTATCTATTTGCTATAATACAAGTATTCCTTTGGACTTAACAGATCTGTTTAATAAAAAGTTTGTAAAKACTGTCTGCAAGGGCCTGGGGTTGTAGCTCAGTAGTAGAGCATTTGTCTAGCATGTGTGAGGCACTGGGTTGGATCCTCAGCCATGTATATAAATAAGTGAATAAAACA